TTTTTTTTGTTGTTTTTGTTTTGTTGTTTTGTTGTTTTTCCCCCCAAGGCTGATTAACTTAATTTAGATTAACACTTATTTTTTTACTAGGGAAAAAGAAAATAATTACCTCGACAAGATGCAAACACTTCAACAAACAATGAATGAAGAGCGAAACAAAGAATTAATGAACGCAACTCACCATCGCTCACTTCTCGAAGACTCGCTGAAGATGACTAAAGGCGAGGAAGGCAGACTAAGACAAAAACTTACCGAAGCAGAAGAAGAAATTCTTCGACTTGAGAAATCTTTAGCTGAGGGTCAAGATAAACTCAACGAGGCGGACATTGCTCGCGAGAGGCTTGAGAAGGAACTTGATTCTATGTCTGACCTGTCAGGGCGGGTATGTACATACTGTATAATTTTATTTAGATACGACACATTTGTGAACTCATTGCCAAATGTACGTGTATAGAGTGTAAGAATGACGTATTTCTTATCGTTGAGTTTGATGCGCCTGGTTTTTCAATGAGTGAGAAATATTTGTCCCCGACCGCCTATTTTGCACTGACAGCAATATATTACCATTCCTGATTTCCTTAGTTTTGTTTACGACAACTCGTACCAACACTTAATTTTCGCGCGCTTTTCTAATGAAACCCTGAACGCACAGACGCGGCCGCCCCGTCAAATTTTCCCGCCATTTCTATATCTGTTGGTGTTTCAAATAATATCGTTTAATAATTGTAACTTTTTTCTATTTTTGTTTTGGAAAACAATCTCCTGTTTAAATACACAGTCTACAATTTACACAAAATGTATAGTGTAAAGTCTAATTGTTTTTGTTGTATTGTTTTAGCTTGCAGATTTGGAAAGACAGCAACTTCTAAAGCAACAGCAAAACCGCAACGCAAACAAAAGCGTTCGAGAATTAGAAAGGATTAACAGAGTGAGTGTTGACTTATGTTTTATGTAGGTATATAGAAGTGGTTTTTTTTAGGTTTAAGTTCGTGTAAACTAGTTTACAACCTATATTTCAATGTAAATATGTTAGTTTATATTTGTCGTTTCTTTGGTTTTGTTGCTGTTATTGTTTGTTTTGTTTTTGTTTTTTTT